TGGGAGGGGATTGGGAGAAGTGGGGATAGTGGGCTGGGATATATATGGGGGGACTGGGATGGACTGAGGTATCTGGGATGGACTGGGGGACTGGGAACCACATGGGGCAGGGGGAATGGGATACCACGTGCCCCTTGCAGGCAGAGGATGTCCAGGCTGGCCAGCCCCTGGTACCGGCCCCACATCCCTCCTTCCATCATATGGTTCATCTCTCCTTTGCAGGATCACCATGGCACCGATGGCCATGTACAGGACCTGGCCTTGGGGCAGGGCAGCCAGTGCAACAGCCCCAAGCAGGCAGCGGGGCAGGAGAGCCCACCCCTCCCAGTGCCCTCTGCCGTGAAGGTAATGCCTGTGCCTCCAGGCTCCCCAGGAAAGGGAACAAGCCAAGGGCACCTGGCTGGATCCAAGCCTGAAGTGCCTGTGTGCTGCACCCAGCATGTGTGGGAGGTCTGGGGGTTTGGCCTTAAGGCTTGGAATACTGCAGGGAGAAAAACCTTGTTGTCAAAAACTGCAATTTGGCTCATTTTATAATGGTATAAGATGTAGTACTGCACCCTGCAAGAGTTGATTGCCTAGGTCCTGCCCTGGAAACCTCCCCTGGGGCAAGGAGCAGAAGGAGATACAAGGCAACACTTAAATACCTTCCAGGCAAGAAGGTTCATTCTCCATCTCATGTGCTCTCCAGCACAACTGAGATGAGACATGACCCTGAGGGAGTACCCCACACGCAGGCTCAGTGGCTCTTGGAGCTGGAGTGTCAGGATACTGGCAGGAGCTGCCCTCTCTCTGTCCCAGGCCTCTGAGTTCTCATGGGGGTGGCAGGAGCTCTTCTCCCAGCTAATTTCTTTCCTTCTTGGACCAACAGTCCAAATCCTCCAGTGACAGTAAGAACCGTCACAAAAAGCCCAAGGACACCAAGCCCAAGGTGAAGAAGCTGAAGTATCACCAGTACATCCCTCCAGACCAGAAGGCAGAGAAGTCCCCTCCACCCATGGACTCTGCGTATGCCAGACTCCTCCAGCAGCAGCAGCTCTTTCTGCAGCTCCAGATCCTCAGCCAGCAGCAGCAGCAACAGCAGCAGCAGCACTTCAGCTACCCAGGGATGCACCAAGGCCAGCTAAAGTGAGTGGCAATGTGCCAGTAGCAGGATTTAGCCCTGTCTTCCTCCAAACTTTCCCCTCCCATACCCATTTGTTCCAGTGCAAGGGGGATAGATGCATGCAAGTGAAACATAAAAGCTTGGGAACATAGCACAGTCTCCTAAAAAGCTGTTCTGGCTTTGTGCACTGGTTGGGGCACCTGTGACCTGCTGGTGGGTCGCCAACAATCTCCTTACCACTCAGCCTGGTTTTTCTTGGGGTTGGTGGTCCTTCAGGTCTCATACAGGAAATAGCAGCCCCAAGGGAGTAGAGAGATGGTACACTGGGCACAGAGACCCCAGGGGGGCAGACAAGTTACTCCAAATCTCCTTTGTTATTTCAGGCAATCAAATGAGCAAATGGTCAAAAGTTCAAATTCTTCAACTTCTGTCAACAACACCCCTCTTTCTCCTGTGAAAACCACCTTTTCAGGCCAGACTTGTGTCTCCTCTATCAAGCCAGGCCCTCTGCCGTCTAACCTGGATGATCTGAAAGTGAGTGCAAACTTTATCACCGCAGGAGCAGAATCTTATAGCCTGAATGTGCTTTACTACCCTTGAAGCATGCAGTGTAGTGCCACAGAATAAGCTGTCTGGGAGTGACTGTGTGTTACAGATCAGCAAACCAGAACCACCATGCTGTGAGCAAACCCAGGAGTACATCACGCTGGGTCAGGAATTGGTCACCATGATGGTAACTGAAAACACAGGTTTGCTGCTCTGCAGGTGGCGTGTGGGTGCCTTGCTCCAGCGCATGTATCATCAAACCTTAGATATAACTTGAGATGGCTCCAGGTCAGGCCACGAGGCTGAGGACTAAAAGAAGATCTGTGCTGCTGCTCCTGCAGCTCATGGCTCCATACCTTCTGTGGTTTTATGGTGAACATCATGGATGCTGCTAGCAGATCAGCCAGAAGTTAGGAGGTCAGCATGGCCTCCGCTTAGTGACTTAGCTTCTCAGTCGTCATTGCAGCCAGGCCAGCTCAGCTCTCTGCACAATCAGGTATCTCCTGGAGTCTTCAGCTACAAGCACTGCTTTGAACAATACCTAAATCTCTCATGTAGGCAAGACAGGCAGGGCATAAGGGGGAATCTCTCACATCAATGGTTCTTTTATACTTTGCAAATGGAGCCTCAGCCATGGGGAAGGCCAAGTCCTTAGGAGCAGAGACCTGGGGGCAACACTCATTATTAGAGAAAGAAATAAGATGAGGTAGAAATAACATGAGTTTGGCCCTAGTGATCCCCCGGCTCAGATGCCTGAACCGTGTGCAGATGCCTGAACATGGAGTATCTGCCTCCCAGGTACGTGGTCACATTCTCTGAGCTAAAGGATGCCATCAGCTAGTTCCTGGTCTGTGTGAAAGTCCTCTGCTCATGTAGAAACCTCCTGCTAGGAAGGGAATCTTGGATTAGCTCCATGGCCCAAGGACCACTGCTGGTTCATGGAGTGCAGTTACAGTTCCTGGAGGAAGAAGGAAGGTTTTCCTGTTAGGAAAGGTCAAGGTCCAGCAGGATGTGCAGTGGTCAGAGCTGTGCATGGTGACTACAGGTGAGAAAGTGATCATCTGGGGGGTCACAGCTTTAAAGCAGGAAGCTGGGAGCCTGTGATCTGAGACTCCTTGTTAGAAATGTTGGGTTTCTAAACACTCATCTGCCATTGGGACTGATCTTTGTTGACTTTCCTTCTAGGTGTCAGAACTGCGACAGCAGCTCCGAATACGAGGCCTGCCTGTGTCAGGTACCAAAACAGCACTGATGGAACGGCTGCGGCCCTTCCAGGAGTGTGGCAGCAACACAGTGCCAAACTTCAGTGAGATCACCACCGTCACCTTCCCAGTCACTCCGACAAGCACCCTGTCAAGTTACCAATCGCAGTCCTCCACCAGCATGTTATCAAATGGCTTCTATCACTTTGGCAGCACCAGCTCCACCCCACCCATCTCTCCAGCCTCCTCTGATCTCTCTGTGAGTGGCTCTTTGCCAGACACATTCAATGACGGGCCCATGTCTTCTCCACAGTTCGGTCTCCAGCCATCTCCAGTTCATGGCAGTGCCGAAGAAAGCCTCATGAGCAGCATGAATGGAGGGAGCATCCAGCTGGAGCTGGAAGGGATTGACACAGAGAAAGACAAGATGCTGGTGGAGAAGCAAAAGGTCATCAATGAACTGACATGGAAGCTACAGCAAGAGCAGAGGCAGGTGGAGGAGCTACGGATGCAGCTCCAGAAGCGTAAGAGAAGCAATGGGCTTGAGGAGAAGCAGCAGCCCACTCAGCATTTCTTTGGTGTCCCCATCAAACAAGAAAATGCAGTGTCCAGCTGTCCTTTTGCATCCAAACAAACGGCCTTGAAAGGCCAAGCCAGCAGCTCAGATAAGTTAAGTAACTGTGGGGTGCCGCAGCTGCCTCACATTGTAAATAGCCACTGCTTGGAGACAGCAGGACAAAGCGCCATCACCTCCTCAACATTCCTGAGCCCACAGTGCTCCCCCCAGCACTCTCCACTCGGGGCTGCAAAGAGCCCCCAGCACATCAGTCTGCCGCCATCCCCCAACAGCCACTATCTCCTCTCAGTGTCCCCTGGCTCACAAGCAGAAGGGCGCAGCGCGTCCCCGCAGACCAACAGTTGCCTTCGCACAGCATCGGTAAGTGGAGAGCAGCCCAGATGGCACTGCAGTGGTGAACGCGCTGGTGTCTGTGGGCAGTCAGTCAAACATCCCAGTTTGACCCCTCTCCTATCAGACCAGCACTGCTGGCACCCACAGTGGGTACTCAGGTGGCCATAGCAGCATGTGGGGCTGCCTGCAAAGGCAGAGAGTAGCCCAGATGGACAACAGATTGGAAGCTGATGGCATTGCAGGGTCTATTGCAGGGCACCTCCTGGGGACCCCTGCTGCTACTGCACCCAATTGCTCTGGGGGGGTCACAGCACAGCTCTCATGCCCCATAGAGCCCTAGCACAGCTTACTCTGCCCTGGGGGAGCTCTGGCACAGCTCCCCTCTTCCCCAGGGGGCCCTAGCACAGCTCTCTCTGCCCCTGGGTGAGCACTGGCAAAACTCCCTGTGTCCTGGGAGAGTCCTGGCACAGCTTCCTCTGCCCCATGGAGCCCTGGAACAGCTCCCTCTTCCCTGGGGAGACCTGGCACAGCTTCCTCTGCCCCTGGTTAAGCACTGGCACAGTTCCCTCTGCCCCTGGAGGATTCCTGGCACAGCTCCCTCTGCCTTGGGGGAGCATTGGCACAGCTTCTTCTGCCCTAAAAGAGCTCTAACTCAGCTGCCTCTCCCCTCAGGGGGAGGCCCTGGCACAACTGTGCCCCTGGGGGAGTCGTGGCACAGCTCCCCCTGCCCCATGGAGCCCTGGCACAGCTCTATCCATAGCAGGGAAGCACTGGCACAGATCCCTGAGCCCCTGGCACAGCTTCCTACATCCCTGGGAGAGCCCTGCTGCAGTGTTGCAGGGCTTTTCAGCATCTTGCTGAGCCATTGCGGCTCCTAGCAGCATATGACGGATTTTGACAACTGGGTTGAAGGAGGGCAGTTATCCCCGTCTTATGGGAAGCCTTTTCTTGGGAAGATAGAGCAGGGGTCTGCAGTCAGATAGAGCTTGTACCTCCCCACTAGGGAACCAGCACAGCAGAAAGTTGTCCCTTCAGTACCCACCACTCCTCACTCAGCCCTCTGGACAGGTATGAAAGCTTGGAGAGGGGCACATGCTTCCAACACACAAAAGCAGCACAAGGTGCTGCTGATTGCAGCCCCATTCATCCCAACACCCTACCAGGGTTTCCCAGGCAGCAGCAACACTTATACAGCCTGTAAAACACACACAGTGGTGCAAGGCTACTGCATGCAGGGAAGATGTACAGCAAGTGCACCCTGAGTGCACAACAGCTGCACAGCAGAGCAACAGCCACTGTGAAACACCCAGCGCTCAAGCAGGGCAGCACATGAATCACATTCCTGCAGCTAGCACACCGAGCAGCATGCAGCTGGAGCTGGGCACTGGGGTACAGTGCTGCAAGGTGGCATAAAGTGGGATGCAGCATTGTCTCTAAGCCATTCAGAGGACTGTGAGATAAGTGACGTGGGCAGTTGGCACACAGCACTGCCAGTGAGGTGGGCAATAGGAAGCAATGTTCGGTGAGAGGGGCAGAGAAACAGAGTGCTGCCAGTGGGATGGGCAGTGGAGTTTAGTGCTGTCAGGGTGAGGTAGGCAGTGGGGCTTGCTGCTGAGGTGAAATGGGCAATGGGGAATGTTGCTTTGGGTGAGATGGGAAATGGGGAGCAGTGCTGTGGATAAGCTGGGCAGTAGGGCAGAGACCAGGGGATGCAGTGGGCAGTAGGATGCAGTGGGTGACCTCAGCAGTGGGGCACGGAGCTGTAGAGAAGAGCTGGGCAATGGGGCAGAGCTGTGGGTACAATAGGCAGTGGGACACAATGCTGTGAGGTGAGATACTCCACGAGAAGGCAGTGGGGCTGCTCTGGAAGACCACGCAGTGGTCAGCAAGCATCAGCAGGGAGCAGTGACACTGTGGGGGCATTTCCAGCTCTTTCCTCACTGCCCCAGTGCAAGGGGCATACAGAGGGCATGGCCCCACAGTGTCCTGCAGCTCATCCCAGCTGTGACACCACCCATCCTGGGCGTTCCTCTGCTGCCTGCAAGGGGTTCCCTGGGGGTGAGGGTCCCTCTTCAACAACAGCTCCCTCTCTGTGCCCAGCATTCAAGAGCCATTCCCCCCAAGCCAGGGACACTGTTCCTACCAGCTGCCCTCCACAGAAAGGTGTCCAGGATGTGCACAGCCAGGTTGAGTGGCCTCACCACTGTCCTGGATTCACTTCTGGATCTGACCTGCTTGCCGTGGCTGTGCTGGCTCTCATGGGACAAGGCAGCCATGGCCAGCTGGTAGGGAAGGGCACACAAAGGCCTAGAGGCGATGGGGACAGCAGCTGGCAAGCACTGGACCTTCAGATGAGGTCCTTCCTGGAAGGGAGACTGGCAAAAAGCTGGCACTGATATGCAGGTGTTTGGCACAGGCACAGGGAAAGCCTAGGTACTGAGCTGGCAGTGACTCTTTTCAGTGGTCTTCCCTGGTCTGGGCTGTAAGATGCCCCTGGACAGGTAGTGATGGAGAGGGTCCCCAGCAAAGGGACTGGGAGGCAGCTGGCAGCCAGAGAAGTGCTGCATCACTGGCTGGGTGCAGCCAACCACCAGCAGCCCATTTCTCTCTCTCCCTTGCTCTGCACATTCACAGCTGGACTGAGCACCAGGATGCTCTGCAGCATCATGCCTGTGCTCCAGCAGCAACTGGAGGTCAGCCTGGCTCTGCGTCTCAGAGCTAGGCTGACAGAAATAGTTCACCTCCCTCTCTCCTTCCCAGAGGCCAGGCACTTTGAGCAGATTTGACTCACAAAACCGTTAGTTTCCCTAGCAGCACTCTGGCTTCAAGAGGGGTGAAAGAGAGCTGGGCCTCCCGCCATGCCTCCCTGTGCATTGACTCCTTTTCCCTGTATTTCCCCCATGCAGATGGCTACACAGGCAGGTCATAAGTTTTCTATTCCATCCTCAAGTTTTTGTAAGTCAAGCCCAGCTCTCTCAGAGGTAAAACAGCCTCCACCCTATGAGGATGCAGTAAAGCAGGGAACTGCATGATTTGTATTTTCTATAGGGCTAGGGCTGCACAGGGTGTTCTTTTGCCGTTAATGTAACTCATCTGCAGGAGTTACAACCCATTATGGGGTCTCTGGGTAGGACAGGTCTGTTTCCATAAGGAATGGGCTTTTTTTTAAGAGTTAGTTGCTGAATCACTGCCACAAAGCAATCAGACACCACCCTGGATGGGATAGTTTCTTCTGTGCTGATGAAAGGCATCAGTCCACCATGGGGTCCTGACATCCCACACAAATACCCCAGGACTTCGGTGTACTCTTCTTTGGGGTGCTCAGTGCTATGTGAGAAACAGACTCTTGAGCATTCCCAAGTCACCAGAAAACCTCACCTTCCCTCTTTAGCCCATTAGCCCTTCCCTCTTTAGCCCATTAGCAAAATGTCCTCTATGCCATCTGCCTCCCTTAGCCTTACCCTGGAGTACTGTTCCCATGGAGACGACTATCTCCATCACCCATGAACCCCTTACTTCTTGTGAGAGTCTGTCAGCAGCCTCAGTGCCAGTCATGATGGTGCCTTTAGGAAAACAGAGTGATGCTGTTGGCAGTGATAAAAATGGGCTTATGCTGGCTGGCAGGGAGGTGTGCAGAAAGTCCTTCCAGTCTCCAGTCAAGGAGAGGAGGATGACAATGTGTTGCCCCCAGGGAGCAGCAGGGAGGCACATGCCAGTGCAAGGTGCTGGGTCCAAAAAGTGTGTCCTGACAGCCCTGGGAAGAGGCAGTCTGTGGTAGCCACTAAGCAGAGGGTTGGCAACAGGGTGGGAGGAACCTGGCACTGTGCTCCCTGAATCCGCCATGCTTGTCCCAGGACCCTGCAGTGCTCACCTGAAAGCCACTGCCAGCCCTGTGTTAGAGTGGCAGCTCTCCTGCATGGGAGGAATATGTGGGGTCTAGAGCCACCTACCTGGCTTGTGGCTGGAGGGACTCTCCTCCTAACGCCCTCTACTCTCCTCTTTGTCGTTTGCTGCAGCAGATGACACGAAGTCAGCAGATGGACGAGCTCCTGGACGTGCTGATTGAGAGTGGAGGTACGCACTGCTTCCCTGTTCCCCTCCAGGGCTTCCCCTCCAAGCCAGTGTCAGTCCACTGGGCTCAGTGCACTCTGTGCACCCCAGCAGAGCTCGTACACGTGCAGACCTGGTGGGGTGGTCAAGGCTTGGTTATCGCCTATGCATACTGTGCAGAGAGAAGGGACAGCAGGGTGGCAGCCCTGTGCACAGCATTGCCAGCACCATCCCCATGCAGAGTCCCCAGTGTCTCCCACCATTCCCAGTGCTGCCAGTGCCATCTCCCACATAAAGCACTGTTGGTGCCGTCCCCTGTGCAAAGTGCTGCCTGTGCTCTTTCCCATGCACAACCCATGCCCTGTGAGGACAGCTGCCAGTGCTCATGCCCTGGGGACTGTGTCCAAAACCAGGGGAGCTAAGGTCAGAAAGCAGGAGGCTTCCCACAGGGAGGGTAGGTGAGCAACACCCAGAGGACTGAGAAGGGAGAGGGTCTTTGTAGGCATGCCCAAGAGCCCATCTGGGTGGCTGTAGTGGTGCCCCTGTGCCCAGCATTGGTGGATACTGCCAGAGTACCTCAAACCCCTCTCATTTGTTGACAGAAATGCCAGCCAATGCCAAGGAAGATCGGTCCTGCCTCCAGAAAGTACCTCAGATAACAGTGTCTACAGGGAACTCCAGCACTTCTCTCCCAAAGTCATCCACTGCATTTGAGCAAGTCTCCTCAGCCCAGCTCTCCTTCGAGCACTGTCCAGGCAGCAGTGATGCTCACCTCGAGGTCCTGCTGAATGCCCACAGCCCCCTGGGGAGGGTCAGTGAAATCGCCCTGCTTAAGATGGGGGGAGAAGAGTCCCACTTCGAAGGGATGATGGAGGGGTTCTCCAGCAAAGCCGCAGATGAACTGCTCACCTCACAGGAGATTTTACAGACTCCCCTCTCGCCCATGGAAACCCAGCTCTCCCCTTCCCCTGCTGATGGATCCAGTTTACAAATGAGTTTCACTGAGTCTCCATGGGAAACGATGGAGTGGCTGGACCTCACCCCCCCCAGCTCTGCCACTGGCTTTGGCTCACTCACCCCTGCTGGTCCCAGCATCTTCAACATTGATTTCCTAGATGTTGCTGATCTCAATCTAAACACCAGCATGGACCTGCACCTGCAGCAGTGGTGAAAGGGAGGGTGGTGGAGGCAGGATACTGTAGGCCTGCAGCAGCCAGCACAGTGTTTCTATCATGCCAGGGAACATGCAGGGCTAATGTGCCTTGTCCATGGGAAACTGGAATCATTTTCCCAGCATATGAACTTGTTTGAATTTCCAGTTACTGCGAATTGACAGCACAACAGCTCCGGTACTTTGGTTTTCCTCCATCAACACGTCCCCACAGAGGACACCAGTGCCTTTAACAACACTTCTTTAGATTGACAAGAACTTTAGTTTTGTTTCTTTTATCTTTTTTCCCTCCATTTTTAGCAGTCACTCTCATGAGAACTGGAGCAGCTCATGATAAAACTGTGTGGTGAGGAGACTTCACCTGGGTGGCAACAGGAAATCATGGAGAGGAGAGCCTGCTGCTGCCCCCGCCTCTACTCCCCTCCTGCCTGTCCAGCCCTTTAAGCAGCACTGCTGGGATCATTTTGGCCATGCCCAGGCCAGCGGGTGTAGGAGCAGGGAGGCTCTTCCCAGACAGGGCAACAAGCACACTTCTCTGTAGATCCAGGCTCACCTTGCTTCCTTCCTCCTGCCCCCAAATCTGTGTTGCCCAGTCCCTGCACAGCTCTGCTCCAGGTGGATAAGAGATGGAGACCACCATGTTTGTGGTGGCACCTTGTCATGTCCTCATGGTGCCTGGGGGGGCTGAAAGCCCAGGAGCCATCCTGGCTGCAGTCTGAACTGAATCAGGCTGAAGCCTGTGACCTTGGAGCAGAGAGCTCTGGACATCGGAGGCAGCTGCTCAGGCTGCAGGTGCAGGTATTGAAGGGGACATGGCATCCTGGTGGAGCTGCCATGTCCCAGCTAGCGCGGTACAGACAAAGAGATGTGTTTTGGTCCAAGGTAAGGAGCAAATTGTATGGAAAATACAGCCAGGCTTTAGAGGTGCTGTCCTTTGCACAGCCAGAAGTCAGGATGTATCTACACCACCTTGCATGACCTGGGAGCAGGGGGAGCCAGAAACAGGCAGTCAGTGACCTGTATGTGGGGCAGGGCTGAGCAGGCCCTTGCATGGCTGTGGTTTTGTGCGAGCATCTGCTTTTGTTGCCTCCACTTCTCTGCCATCCATCCCTCCATCCTTCTTCGCATTCCTCCTTGATCTCCAGCAGTCATCCCCTTCTTCCCAAGTTTACTCCAGTGTCACTGTTCACTCAGCCCAGAGCAATGCCATCTGGAGAACAGCTGTGAATCACTGAGCCTGGAAGAGCTAGTTCTCCTGAAGCTGTCAGAGATGGATCCTCTCCTGCAGTGATGCCTCCTGTTTAAAGTCACCAGCATTTCTCCTATGAGTCTCTGTGCAATATACTTCCTCAGGCTCTAGCGAGAAGGAGCCTTTGCTTCACTTCTTGGCTTCTACCAAAGAACTTACTGCAGACTGTTTGATGGACATTTCTACTTCTTTGCAATTCTGGTTTTGCCAAAGTAAATATTGTTGCTGACAAAGATTGTTAAACTATTTACAGACTGAACGTATTTAATATTTGTGTTACTGGAAGGACAGCACATGAGAGATACAGCAGCTGGGGAGGAGGTCTGGCGCGAGGGGCCTGTGGGCAGCCTGGCCATGGCTCCTGTGGGATGCTGGAGCTGTCAGAGGAGGCTCTGCAGCCCCTGCTGTGTCTCCAGTTCCTGGCATTGTTGCATGCTGTATAAAGCACGTGGCAGTAGCTTTCAACTCACTATTTAAAGCACCACTTTTCTATTGTACAAATGGTCACAGTGCACTGCTAGGATAGATGATCACAGGTTGCATATTTTTTAAAGAATTTCTTTTTCTAAGTGAGAGATTTTTTGAAGCCGGTCCGTGGAGAATATTAATAGCACTTGAAACAGAGTAGTGTTAGCTGCTACACTGCGTTGCTGTACAGGGCTTTCCAGATACCTTTCTCCTCTCAGCAAATGTTATTTCCTTATTTAAAGGGATGCTGTTAGCTTCAAACTTGTAAGCAAGCACATTTCCTTACCTATGTTACCAGCAACACATTCATTATTAAAAACCCCTTTGTCTTGCCACTCATCTGCTCTCAGTTCGCTGTGTGATTTTGCTGGCTGGGGCAGCCATAGCCCTCCCAGCTGCAACCATTCAGTATCAGCTCCATGCCCTGGGGCAGAAGTATTTCTTTCACAGCAACAGTTTCTCCTGGAAGATTTCTAAACAAGCTAGCTGGAGTCTCCTTCTTCTGAAGGCTTTTTCTTCTGTTGGCTTTGGTTTTGCTTTGTTATCCTGCAAACCCTGCTCCTTGGGTCAGTATCCCCTTCAAAGGCAGTAGTTGGCACCCTGCCCAAACCCCTTTCCATTTTCCAGCAGCCAAGCTCCCTGTGGCAGTGGGCTGCTAGATGCAAGGCACACGGTGGGCACAGGCAGAGCTTCCCCCACAGCTGACCTCCTGTTGCCTGCAGGCAAGTGGCAGAGGCAGGCTGGAGAGCTCTCACCAGGGGCACCCTGGATCCTTCTCCCGGTACCCACTAGTGTCAGTTTCCAGATTCATTGCATCTTTCCTTTGATTAAAAAAAGGTTCCCAGGACATTCACCCACCTGTTTGCAGGAAGGGACGGCCTGTGTGTCCACAGGTGGACTTAAAAGTGAAACAATCCTGAGACATTGCAAAAGTTAATCTGAAAAGACATAAATGAAAAAACCAACTAGTTCCTATGAACATCTTTTAATCTCTAAAGTACACTCTGCAACCAAATGTGTTGTGATAAACTGCCTGGACTGAGCCAAGATATGGTTACTCAGAGAATGAGAAGACAAGCTTCAGTCTAGGATTGTTTCAGGAATAATGATGGACAGGAGCACTCACCTGTCCTGTTTGCCCATTGAGGAAAGCCTGCCTGCGTTGTTCAACCTGCAGAACAGGAGGTGGGAGGACATGCTGCCAGTGTCCCATTGTAAAAGGCAAAGAGCAGGGAGAGTGGTTCAGGGAGTCACAGCTTTAAAGTGCAGGAAAGATGCTTGTCATGTGCCAAAGTTTGGACCAGAGCATTTGGGGAGGCTGAGTCCAGACCAAGGTCCTGCTGTGGGGCAGAGGGACCTCTCCTCCACTGCCTGGAGAAGAGCTCAGCTCAGCTCAGCTCAGCTCTGCCTTGGCCATCAGTTTTCTAGCCCCACCAGAGCAGCCTTCTGGGAACACATGGGCTGTGCTGGCAGGAGAGCACCTCCTCTCCCCCACCATTGCCTTGGCCAGAGAAGCTCCTGCAAAGCCCCATCTACACTCAGCCACCACCATGAATCTCCCCATCAGCTTGCTGGCCAGGCATGACCCTTGGGTCCAGTTTGGGAGGTGTTTCAGTTTCCTTCCCTCTCAGGCAGGGATTCCAGAGCCTCACCCTGCTAGTCACTGCAAGGTCCTCACATTTACAGCTCCAGGGTTGTTCCCTACTGCTTTGTAACCCTGCTCCCATGCCGTGGTGTCCTGTGTCTCAGGTAGCTCTCATCCTTCCTGGTACACCTTGTGTCAGAGCAACGCCATGGATGCTCTGCCTTCTTTTCCTCAGCACCTGCTGATGAACTGTACTTTCCATGCCCTGAGGGAGTTAGCACTTTTAATGTGTGGATGATTTTCCCACACAGGCTGTCCCAAGGGATTTAGGGCCCTGGGGTTTTCCTTCCCATCAAAGCCTGGATTCAACAAAGGAAAAAACCTTCATCTCTGGACGATCCCAGTGATGTCCCACTCTCCCTGGGCCTTCCTGCCTGAAAAATACAGGAAATATAAAGCAAAAAAATATTCCACGAGTCAAATGACTTTTTTCATGCCTTTGGCAAGGTTTTCAAATGTTAGATGCTTGGCTCAATGCACCATCCAATGGTTCCTCCATGGGAGGCACTGAGACATCAACAGCATCTTTCCACCAGCTCCCAGGTCAAGACAGACCATGTTTTAGGCACAGTTTCCCCTCCCAAGTGACATGGGGAAACATCTGTTCCTCAGCCCTTCTGGGCTTGCAGGGGTACCCTGTGCCCTCAGGTGTGTGGGGGATGTAGAGGCAGCAGCGGGAGGAACTTGCATGTGCCAATCACAGACCCCTGCAGCATTGGGTATCCCAAAAGCTCCTGAGCCCAGCACCACAGCTACCAGTGCCTTCCACCACCCCGCCACCAACACCCTGTTACCCTGTGACACCCACACCAGCACACCTGGCATCCCTTGCTTGCACCCCAATGCCACGTCCATACCCAGCAGCAGCCCCCAGCCCACTGCTCTCCAGCTGCCTGCCAGCCAAGGGGACCTTGGCCTCCTCCTGTGCACAGGCAGCCCTGGCACTTCATCACCCACACAAAGCCCCCACTGCCACCCACACCAGCACATACAGCCCCCTCATACCTGCTCACCAGCACAGGACACTCTCTCACCCCTCTCCAAGCACACTACCACCCACCATCCATCCAGATCTCTCTGCTCATCCCTGGCCAGTTCCCCCAGAGCCTCTATTCCCCCCTCATCTAAACTCACTTGGCAGGGGACCAGGGCCACTCCTTACCCATGCATGGACCCTCTGAGATACTTATGGTCCTGGGGCCTCTGGCATCATCTTGTGCCCCTTCCTTCAGGCCCCTGCTGTCATCCCATGTCTGTAGTCCTCTACATGCATTTTACTAGAGAAGCATAGATAGTTATTTATGCACAGAACTTCTCATTATAACTTGCTATTATTTACAAAATGTATACAAGAATGTGTTACATCACACAATTGTAGGAGAGCTAAAACAAAGCAAGTAATGATCATCTTGTCATTAGATAATTGCTGTTACAGCTAAACAAGCTAAAGCAAAGCTCCAGGCAGACTAAGAGTAGTTGAGACAAGGCCTGATAAGTTCTGAGACACCTTTTGCTAGCTTAGCATAAGGCTATGGCCTCATAGGAGCAGCAGCACCCTATTTACTGGGCTTCAAAGCTACAAGACCATGGGAGCTCAGGAGAGGCCATGGAGCATCTCCTGCATTGCTCAGCTGGTAAGAAAACATGTTCGCTAGGAACACTTGAACCTCTCCCATCCAAGTAACCCCTGCTTCCTGGTGCCAATCTCAGCCAGCAC